TCTTCCACCAATCCTGATGCCACATTTCTCCTCATAGAGCCCAGCCTCTCAGATAATCTGTTCTGCATACAGGTTGAAAAGGTATGGAGATAGGACATATCCCTGGCTTACACCTTTCCCAATTTTGAACCATGCAGTGTTTCCTTGCTCTGTTCTGACGACATATAGTAGCTAACAAAAAACACTGAAGTTGGCGAGGTCTGGTGGCCTGGTGGCAAGAAGTTGCACAGCAATCCCAGTGGTGAGCTGTTTGAATCCACCAGATTCTCTGCTGAAGGAGGGACAGACTCATCCTGTACCAGTCAGATCTGATTTGACAGTATACAAATAATAATAAATAATAAATTTTAAAAAATTTAAGTTTAGGTTCACTGAAAGTGTCTTCTCTCTTTTTCTGATCCTGAAAGGTGACAGAGGCCCTCAGATGGCATTTTCAATTGTTTCCTATACATTAGGGAGCGCTGGCAACTTACTAGGGAAAGAGTTGTGCTGCCAACTCAAAAGCAAGCTGTTCAAACCCACTAGCTGGGGTGAGAAAGATAGACACTCTCCTCCTGTGTGAGTTACAGCCTCTAAAATCCCACTGGAGTGGTTTCCAACTTAACGGCAATGAGGTTCCTATGCATTTGAAAGTTGGTTCATGAATAAGAAAGACTAAAGAATGACCAAAGATAATTTTAGATGGAGGTGCTGGTGAAGAGTACAGAATATACCATGGACTTCAAAAGAACAAACGTATTTTGTGCAGCCAGGGTGCTCCTCAGAGTTAAAGATGGTGAAATATCATTTCATGTACTTGGAGTATGTTGTCAGATGGGGTCAGTCCTTGGAAAAAAACATCATTCTTATAATAGTGGAAAAGCCTCAAAGAGATAATTACCAAAGCCATTGCGACAATGGGGAGATCGTGACACAGATGGCACAACATACTGCAAGGTTTCTGTTTTTCATAGGGTCACTATAAGTCAAACTCACTTCAGTGTCATCTAACAACATGTAATGCAAATACATAAAGAAAATACATTAATTCTTCTAAAGATGTTTAAGATTTCTTCAAAGAGATGAGACACGTACACAATCAAAGACATCATATATGAAGTGAGCAAAAGGTCATTCATTACAAAGACGGATTGAACAGATATGGAAAGGGAATACACCCCTAATACACATATTTCTTAACTTTAAACCATGCAGTGTTCCCTTACTCTGTTCACACAACAGTTTCTTCATCTAGGTATAGGTTTCACATAAGCATAATCAAGTGTTCTGGGATTTCCATTCATCTCAATGTTATCCATAATTTGTTATGATACACACAGACAAATGCCTTTGCATAGTCACTAAACCACAAGTAGACATTCTTCTGGTATTCTTTTTTTTCCATCAGGATCCATCTGACATCTGCAAGGATATCTCTGGTATCAACGCCTCTTCTAAACCCAGTATGAACTTCTGGCAGGTCACTGTCAATGTTTTTGGATGATCTTCAGCAATATTTTGCTTGTGTGTAATATTGATGATATTGTTCTACAAATTCCACATTTTCTTTTTTTACTTTTGTTCATCTTTTACTTAAGCATCTCTTCCTTTGTTTTGACTTCCCGGTGCTCAAGTGCAATTTTCCGAGTCTTGTCTCACAGTCATTTAGTTTTTCTTCTTTTTCTTTTGTCTTTATAATGACCTTTTGCTCTCTTCATTGATGATATCCTTCAAGTTAGCCCATAACTTATCTGGTCTTTTAGCATGGTGTTTAATGCCTCAAACCTATTCTTAAGTTGATTTTTAAATTCTAATGGGATAGACTGAAAGTTGTATGTCAGCTTCTTAGGCTTGTTATAATTTTGTTCAGCCTCAGTTTGAACGTTCACATGACTGTTCCACAACCCTGGCCTGGCTTTCACTGCTAATGAGCCTCTCCAATAATTTCACAGATGTCGTCAATCAGATTCCTATAAAGTTCATCAGGTGAGGTTCATGTGTAAAGTCAACTTTTGTGTTGTTTGAAAATGTTATTTCTGATTAATCATTGAACATACAAGTTATCACTTAGTGGGTACTTTAGTCACTGTTTTAAGTGCTTTATAACATTTCATTTTTAGTTTTCTAACTCCCTTCCCTTAAAGTATTATTATTTTCACTTAAAGAAAGAAAAGGGAAGCTGCGGCTCAGAGAGAAGTAACTTGCCCAAGGTTGCTCAGCTGTGTTAACAGAGGCAGGTTTGAACTCATTCTCATTTCCAAGTCTCAGATCCTTATCTGAAAAACCTAATCTTATCACCAGGAGGTCTTGTCCATATTCTGCTATATCATTTATTCATTTCTATATTTTTTTTCTTTCTTCTAAATTTAGCTGAATGCCTACTTTGAAATAGTAGCTAAAATTCGGGCTAAGTACTGTGGTGCTTTAAAGGCCACACACTTCACTGAACTTTCCATTCTAAAGTGTCTGTAAGGTGATTGTGGTGTGGTGGTTATTGTGGTGACTGTCAAATTGGAACTGACCTATATCTGACCCTCCAGCAGGATTTCAGAGACAATTCAGAGCCAGGAGGAGGCTGCCCATCTTTCTCCCTTGGAGCAGCTGGTGAATTTGAACCATTTGCCTTTAGGCTGGCTATATAACTTCTTACCACTAACCTATCAAAGCTCCCGAAGGTTGGTGATAGGTATTGTTGCGTGCCACCGAGTGGAAACTGACTCATTGCTGACTTTCTAGAGGGTTTTCAAAGGCAGTTAATTGCAGGAGGTGAGATTGCCCATCCTTCTGTGGAGGAGTTTGTGGATTAGAACTATAAGCCCTTGGGATTGCAAAGCAGTTTCTTACCACTGGGCCACCTGAGCTCTTTAAGGTTGACTGTTGTGGGTGTTAAGTGCAGTCAAGAATGACTCATAGTGACCCTATGAACAACAGATATGAATCCTGTGCCATCTTCATAATCTCTGCCACACTTGAGCCCACTGTGTCAATCCACCACTTGGTCTTCCTCTCCTTCACCTCTCCTCACCTTTACAAGCACAATG